CATTTTTCTCATTAAAATAAAGTTTGAAGTAGCCAATAATATTAATGTTAAAGAGTTAAAATTAATTTGTGAAAGCTATGTTATTTGAATACCTACAATTAAGTTTCTGAATGAGATTTTCATTAAGTGAATTTGAATAGTTATTCAATAGTATAATAATATAGTATTTAAAGACAAAAACAAGTTTTTTGATTAATATATTTATCTCACAACAGTTCTTAGCATATATAGCGTCTGAGCAATTGTTGAGTAAATATGAATATGAATGTTAAGTGCAAAGGAAAACTGTGATTCTCTTATCTTTAACCTCATCATTTCCATCCTAGAGCCCCATGGGTAGCTCTCTCTCTCTCTCGCGCACACACACACACACACACACACAAAATGCATACACACTCACTCACACTCATATATTCAAAACATGTACACTATCCTTTTAAACTACTTTTGTTGTTGTTACTACCAATTTTGAACTTACTACTTATCAACATATTTTAAAGAAAAGTTTATTCCATGGGTAAAAGGGCAGGATTTCCTTTTAATATGATTCTTTGGGATAAATTGTTTAACATAAGTTGTAAGGATATAAGAATCAGACTGAAAATTTATCATATTTTGTTTTATTAAAAATGCTCTGACTTTTTCCTCTACTAAACTGTATATATATTTATTTTGGGCCAGAATCATACCTGCCTTATTTACCAATGTATCTAAAAAACAAAGCAAAGTTACTGGTACATAGTAGGAACATAAACAATATTTGTTTAATGAGTGAATGAATAACATTAATCTATGCATTCAATCAAGTCACTGAAATTATTTACTTTTGCATAAAATTTAACATTGCTTTAATTAAGTTATAAAATATTTAATAAAGTTGAACTGTTTTGTCAAGAATTGTGAAGAGCCTGAGATGTTGTCCCAGTGGTATTAGGCACTTGGGTCAGAAGAAAAGAGTTCCTATTGGTACAACAAAATCAGCAGCCAGATGTCACAGCATTAGTTCTCCACCCTTGAGTCTTGTGGGTGCTGTGATAGAGCCTAAGAGCCAATGGGATTTTTCTATAGAGGTAGCAGTTTACACTCCATAAATGAACGACAGAAAACAATGGATTTTCTCCATTTATATAGAGGAGAGAGACAAGCAACCTCCTCCTTTCCTAGAAGGAAAGGAAACACACACAGACACATATCCTTTTATTCCATTAAGATGAGCTGGAAAAAGTACCTTGTTCTTACCTTTGCCCTTAGGAATATAAATATGTCTTTTCAAGGGCCAGATAAATACCAGATAATGTCTTCAAAAGATGGGTTTCATCCTTTTTGACAGGTAAACACCAAGGGAGAATATGTTCCAATACTCTCGGCACCCTGGCTCTTAGTTTAGGACCTTGTCTGGTCTCTAACATGTTGGCCCTCTTGGGGAGATAAGAGAAATTTTATTATCCTTTGGAATCAGATCACTTACCTAGACAAATGTCTAATTTGTCTAATTCTCAGTGTATGTGAATATAAAGTATTCTGGGAGAAATGAAAGTAAACATTGCCCATCTTTATGTCATATGTATAATTTGTGTGTCAGGAGACTAAGTTTGAAGTAAGTTTAATGTGCATAAAGTGATGATTTTATATACATTAAGTATTGGAAAAGCTTACCAAAATAAGGTTTGTTAACACATCCATCACCTTATATAGTTATCATTTTTGTGTGTATGGTGAGATGATTTAAGATAAATTCTCTTGCCGTCTTTCAAGGTTTCAATTCATTACTTTTAACTATAATCATGCTGTATATTAAATCCTCAGAATTTATTCATCTTATAACTAGAAGTTTGTACCTCTTGACTAACATTTCCCCAACAAATTGGATAACCTAGATGAAATAGATAAGCTCCTAGAAACATACAATATAGCAACACTGAATCATGAAGAAATAGAAAATCTTAACAGAACAATGAATAAGAACTTGAGTCAGTATTCAAAAGCTTTCTAATAAAGAAAAGCCCAGCCGAAACCAGTTTGGCTCAGTGGATAGAGCGTCGGCCTGCGGACTGAAAGGTCCCAGGTTCGATTCCAGTCAAGGGCATATACTTTGGTTGCGGGCACATCCCCAGTGGGGAGTGTGCAGGAGGCAGCTGGTTGATGTTTCTCTCTCATCGATGTTTCTAACTCTCTATCTCTCTCCTTTCCTCTCTGTAAAAACTCAATAAAATATATTTTAAGAAAATAAAAAATAAAGAAAAGCCCAAGTTGAAATGGTTTCACTGGTAAATTCTACCACAAACAATAAATGAATAATTAATGCCAACTCTTCTCAAATTCTTCCCCCCAAAATTGAAGAGCAGGGCACACTCCAAAATTTCTTTTATGAGGCCGGTATTAACCTGATACAAGGCTAGATAAGAATACTATAAAAAAAAAAGAAAACTATAGGCCATCATCCTTGATGATCATAGATGTAAAAATTATCAGCAAAATACTAGCAAATTGACTTCAACAGTACATTAAAAGGATCATATATCATGATCAAGTTAGATTTATCTGTGAAATACAAAGATAGTTCAAATGCAAATCAATGAATGTAATACACCATACTACCAAGACAAAAGATAAAATTCATATAAATTCATATGATCATTCGGTACAACAAAGCATTCGACAAAATTCAACAAACATCCTTTATAATAAAAATACTCAGAAAATTGGGTCTAGAAAAAACATACCTTCACACAATAAAGGCCATATGCGACAAACCCACAGTAAACACTGGATTCAATGATGAAAGATTGAAAGCTTTCATGCTAAGATCAGGAACAAAGCAAGGATGTCTACTCTTCTAGTCAATATAGGGCTGGAAGTCCTAACAGAGCAATCAGCCAAGGAAAAGAAATTAAAAGCATCCAAATTTGAAAGGAAGAAGGGAAGCTCTCTGTTTGCAAATAATATGATCTTATATACAGGAAACCCTAAAGACTTCATTGAAATCTATTAGAACTAATAAATAAGTTCAGTAAAGTTGCAGGATACAAAATAAACACAAAAATCAGTTGCATTTCTACACATTAAGAACAAACTATCTAAAAAAGAGACACTAAAAATTCCTATTACAATAGTATAAACAGATACTTAGGCTCTGTGGATACTTAGATATTTTCCACAGAAATTGATAAAACAATCCTAAAATTCATACAAAAGTTTCCAATCTTAAAAGAAATTATGAAAATCAGATTTTTTTTAAAGTCGACAATTTTGATGCTGAGTAAACCTGCCCTCTCTTACGTGGTAGTAAACAGTAAAAAACTCACTGCAACAATATATGCCTTGAGAATATCACTGTAGATCACATCCCAGAAAATTTTCCATCTTAGGCTCAGTGTAGGTGAATGTGAGGCAAGTGTAGAGGCTCTTGTTGTGAAATCTCTAATTTACCAGCCCATGAGCAGTTGCAGCTATTATCCGACTGGGCTTTTCTGTTGCATTCAGTTGTGGTCAGCTGACTCCCTTCTGTGTGCCCTTTTCGCTTTCATGTTGCTCTTTATACACCGCGTTGATGTGTTTTGCTTTCCTATGCACGCACTCCCTCAAGCTCTAAACCCAAGAGTCATTCTGGACCTATCCCAACTCCCTTGCTAACATCCTCACATTTTAAAAATTAAAAAAAAAATGAAAGAACATTTCTAATTCCTAATGGCTTCACTTTCTGAACATCTCTCTTTCTCTTCCTATTTTCCCTGCCTCTGCTAAGCCTTCCAACTTAATTATGACAAGCTTACTAGCTAGTTTCCCTTCCTCTTGTGTCTAGCTTCTTAAATCCATC